CTTCTTCAGAAAATTCTGAAGAAGGGTCCAGACCCGAAACGTCAGCTTTCCTGCTCCTCTGATGCTGCTTGGCCTGCTGTGTTCATCCAGCTCTACACCTTGTTATCTAGGGAGAAGCATTAACCAGGTTTCAGACCATAGTTGCTATCCGGTGTTATCCTGGATAATATGTGGCTAAAAGGCTGATGTGATGCCCTGTGAAGATGAATATGCTGTTGAACCATACTTGCGCTTGAGGATTGGGATTGTGTGGAACTGGCAGCATCATGAGATGCAACAGCTTCATATGCTGGAGCTAGCATTTAGCCAAGGAGACAAGGTTTCACTTGACACCATGCTAAACATTGCCAGGATTGGGCAGAGATGGTGCAATGTGTTTTTGCTGAGTGAATGACTTGCACAGCTTGAACTTTGGCCTGTTGTTCTGTGCAGTGAGGAGGAGAAAAACCAGGTGGAAAGAACAGGAGGAGCAGAAGCTACGGTCAGATGAGCTGGTCGGTGACTTGCTGGCTTTCAAAGAAAAGCCTGGTGAGGAAGATAAGCCTGTGGGACAAGGAGGTGGACGTCAGCCCAGTCGGGACCCGCTTCGCTGGTTTGGGGTCCTTGTGCCGCAGAGTTTACGAGATGCTCAGGCATCTTTCAAAGAAGGTACGGATCCCACAGTCCTGATCTGAAGAAGGTGTCAGAAATGGGGAAAGTGCGATGCACGAGAAAGGAGAACGTGAGGGTTAGAGAGGAGGGAGAGGGTGCAGAAGATGAGGCTGGGTGAGGGAAGACATGACTGAGAGGCTACATGAGCGATCGGGAAAATTAAAATTTTCCTGCTGCTCTAATTTACTCCCTGTACTGTATCTGCGTCATGCTCATTTGTCTGTCCTTTACGTCTGACTTTCGTCCTTTGCTCTCTGCTCACCCTCCAGGGAACAGGGCTTTACTGCTCACACTTGTCATCTTTCTGCCTCACTGTGGTTTGGAATGTGCAAGTTTTTCATTCTTACTATTTCTGTGTGTCCCACACAGTACACTTACTGCTCAAAAACACAAAGAAGTGAGGATGCTGGAGATCTGAAACAAAAACTGGAGAACATAGGCCATAGAACAGTACAGCACAGTACAGGCCCTTCGGCCCACGATGTTGTGCCGAACATTTATGCTAAACCTAAGGTCTATCTAACCTCCATCCCTACCTTATACTATCATCAAAACTCAGCAAGTGTGGCAGCAGCTGTGGAGAGAATCCAGAATCAACATTTCGGGGTCCAGTTCTGAAGTAGGGTCAGTGAACCTGAAATGTTGATTCTGCTTTTCTCTCCAATTTTGGTGCTAGACTTGCTGAGTTTCTGTACTATTTTTGTTTTTGTATACTTGCTGCTGCTGTCTGTGACACATGTGTTATTTACTGTCTGTTGATCATTGTCCCCAACGTCTCTCTCTCTCACTCTCGCTCTCTTTCCCATCTTTCTCCAGTTATGGAGCTGGCAGCTGAGGTGGCGACTCTGCAGAGCAGCCTTGTGAGCACCAAGGCAGAATACCAGGCTTTACTGCAGCAGAAACATAAGCTTATCGGACGCCAGAGTGTGTGAGAGGTACTTCCTTCTGCCAACCCCAGGCCAGTCTGAAGCCCAACAGAATGTCCTCCCCTTCACCCCTCCTCAGCCCCAGACCTGGTGAAATGATGCCCATTCCAATCAACACTCCTGTGGACTTGGTGTTTTAGACTTTGTTAAAATCTCCATTTTCCAGATTCCACTGTGAACCTGTGGTTGGGATGGTTCTGTAACTACACTGCAAAATGGGAGAGGAATGAGGATTGTGAAATTGTTATGCCTGTTTGCTTTGATCATTTGAGTTTGCATTCGACATCTGAAAGGTTTCCAGTCGTTGATTGAGAAAATAAATCTAGATTGGTTTTATGTGGACTGCCTGGTGTGATTCTGTGCAGTGGGAATAGCTCCAGCTTTGTCTGTGGCTTGTTCTGAACTCCTTGATCCATCAGGTTGGCGGGATGGTTGCAGTTCGCCCTGGTACAGCCCAGACAGGGGGAGGGGTATAAAAATCAACCACGTTTCTGCTCTCAGTCACTCTCTGGTCACCTTTGCTGCACAGCGTGTGGGTTGCTGCTGCTGCTGCTGGGATCGGGTGGCTGTGGTCAGCAGAGGACTAGGCTCAGATGTGATATTCACCACGTATCTGAGTGATCAAGACGCACAGAATTAATTCTTGGGCATTGTCCAAGGAGAAGGTAAGTGAACTCTGGAATATTCCCATCAACCCGTCACCTCAGATCACTGATCTTTTTGATCCTCGCCTATTCTCTGTCCCATCTCCACTTCTACTGATAATGTTCCATGGTAAATAGCGAAACAATTTGCTGATTAAGTATTCCAGCTTAGGTCTGCACCTCTCAGCATATTTCACCCCTTTTTATCCTTCCTGGAAGCGACTATGCTGTTATTTTCCTTTTGTTCTTCAGTGGGATTTGGGTGTCATCGTTGGCAAGACCAGCACTTGTTGTTCTTCCCTAACCTGCCCGGATTTTTAAGAAAATCAATTTGGTTCAGTCATGTTGCTCTGGTCCTAGAGATAGTGAGTTGGCCAGACCAGGTAAGGATGAAAGATTTCTCCTCTTAAAATAGGTGAGCTTTTAAAACAACTAACAATCAGTAGGATTGGCTTCCAATTCCAGATTTAATAATTGGATTTAAATTCCACTAGGTGCCTTGATGGGTTTTGAAACTGATCCCTGAGCATTAATTGTGGCCCTGTGCACTCCAACCTCTTCTCCCTTCTAGTCCATACAGTTAGCAGATTTTTGGGTTCCCTTGTATGTTATTTGCCATTCTATTCTCATTATTTGTTTTTGTCAGGTTAAGAGGAGTGTTGCCAAATGGAGAGACCTAGGGGTGCAGATTCATAGTTCCTTGAAAGTGGAGTCACAGGTAGACAGAGTGGTGAAGAAGGCGTTTGGTATTGGTCAGTGCATTGAGTATAGTTCTTGCACATAGAATCATTGAATCCTTACAGCGTGGAAGCAGGCCATTTGGCCCATTGAGTCGACACTGACCCTCCAAAGAGCATCCTACCCAGGTCCTCCTCCCTATTCTGTTCCTGTAACCCTGCATTTCCAATGGCTAATCCATCTAGCCTGTACATTCCTGAACATTACAGGCAATTTAGCGTGGCCAATAGACCCTAATGTGCACATCTTCAGACTTTGGAGGAAACTGGAGGCAACCCATGCAGACATGGGGAAAAGTGCAGACTCCACACAGACAGTCACCTGAGGCACCAAACCCAGGTTCTATAGGTATGAAGCTGGAAAAGCACAGCAGGAAAAGACAGCATCAGAGGAGCAGGAAAGTCAACTTTTCGGGGTTTCGGCCCAAAACGTTGACTTTCCTACTCCTCTGATGCTGTCTGACCTGCTGTGCTTTTCCAGCTTCACACCTATAGATTCTGGCTTCCAGCATCTGCAGTCCTTACTGTCTCCAAGTCGCATCAAACCCAGGTCCCTGGCGCTGTGAGGCAGCAGTGCTCACCACTGAACCACTTCAAATAATGTAGGTTAGCTTTCAACAGTGCGGGAGAATCTGCACAGTCCAGACTGGCTTTGGCTTTGGCTTTTGATAATGTTTAAGCAGTGCAGAAACAGAAATTGCTGGAGAAACTCCGTAGGTCTGGCATCAACCATGGGGAGAAAGCAGAGTCAACGTTTTGAATCAGTGACTGTTCATGGGAATACCTGCGCGCTGCAGACCTGCTGAGTTTTTCCCATTAATTTTGTTTTTTGTTTCAGATCCACAGTTCTATATTTAAGTGGTGCAGGCTGGTTTGTAATAGTAGTGGATTGCTTCAACTCTGCTAGCCTGCAGAGCACAGGTGCCTTGTTCATTTGGCCAGCATTGTGGTCCCTGCACCTGTTATTTCTCCTCCTCACGCTTTCTGTCCAGACAGCTGGAATCAAGTGGTATTTCTTTTCAATTGTGCTCAAGCAAGCTCATATCCTCAGTCTGGAGTTTAACCAAGTCTTTCGTGAGATACCTTATCAATTTCGTCAATAATTCTCTGGTTTCTCTTAACCCCTAGTTTCTGATCTGTCCTTGTGAGAACCATTATTCAGTACCCTACTTATCAAATCCATTATCATTAAACCAAATGAATTACAAAAGCAGAGCAATGGGCTACTGAATGATTATGATTGGCCTTGACAAGAAAAGGTTATTCTGACAGAAAAGCTGCAGTGGTTTGAGAAAGAGCTCCAATCGCGAGTTCCAGCAATTGCTGCTTATTTATTCTTCATGTTTTTAGTTGGTTTTATTGCTTTTATTTTAGGTGTCTCCGTTTCTGACCTGTGCTTACTTTAAAAATAGATCTTCTAACTTGATTTGCGAAAATACTGACATTATTTCCCACTAACAGCTCTATTCAGATGATGCTCTCAGCCACATCCTACCTAAGAATTCAGGTACATAGTTCTGTGAAAGTTGCATCATATGTAGGCAGAGTGGTTAAGAAGGCATTTAGTATGCCTCCCTTTGTTGCTCAGACCATTGACTATAGGAGTGGGGACATTACGTTGAGGCTGTACAAGATGTTGGTGAGGCCACTTTTGGAGTACTAGCACGAGGGGACATAGCTTTAAATTGAGGGGTGATAGATATAAGACAGATGTCAGAGGTAGGTTCTTTACTCAGAGTAGTAAGGGCGTGGAATGCCCTGCCTGCAAAAATAGTAGACTCGCCCACTTTAAGGGCATTTAAATGGTCATTGGATAAACATATGGATGATAATGGAATAGTTTAGGTTAGATGGTCTTCAGATTGGTTTCACAGGTTGGCGCAACATCGAGGGCCGAAGGGCCTGTACTGGGCTGTAATGTTCTATGTTCTATGTACGGTTCTGGTCACAATTATAGGAAGGATTGCAGAGGGTTCAGAAAAGATTTACGAGGATGTTGCCAAGATTGGAGGGTTTGAGTCATTAGGAGAGGCTTGATAGGCTGAGACTTTTTCTCACTGAAGTGTAGGTGGTTGAGGGGTGACCTTATGGAGGTTTATAAAAGCAAGAAGGACATAGATAAGTTGAATAGCAAAGGTCTTTTCCCTATGGTGGGAGAGTTCAAAATTAAGGGGCATATTTTTAAGGTGAGAGGAGAAAGATTTAAAAGGGACCTGAGGGGCAACTTTTTCTCACAGAGGGTGGTTCATATGTGAAATGAACTGCTGGAGGAACTGATAGGTGCATGTACAGTTACAACATTTAAAAGTCATTTGGGTGGGTATGTGAATAGGCAAGGTTTAGAGGGATATGGGCCAAATGCAGACAAGTGGTACTGGTTTCATTTAGGAAACTTGGTTGACATGGGCAAGTTGGACTGAAATGTCTGTTTCTTTGCTGTATGGCTCTATGATCAGTGGATGGGATTTTAATGACCAACCGGTTCTGTGATACCTAGACTGCAGCCATATCAGGAGTTTGATTAACCCTCTATGTATTGGTCGTCTTCAATCTTCCATGTTAACACCATGTGTCTCAATCACTTGCCATGCATTTGCGATGTTAAATGAACCCAGAGATACACAGTTGTTTATAATGTAAAAATAAAGCTATATGTATAAATTATACAATCTACATTAATAAATCTTATTCTTCTTCCCCCTGTTTTGTGGTTTAGCAAGGAAGGGTTGACCCCCATATCTTCAAAGTCCACCTCAAGTGAAGCCATGTCCTTCTGGAACTCCCCTTCCTCCAAACCCTCCCCCACGTACCAGTGGACAAAGGCCTGCTTGGCGTATATCTTGTCGAATTTGAGGTACAGGGGTCCAAGCCAAGGAAATGGCGGTGGTGTTGCTCAGCATACAGAGGGCCCTTTGCACCTTCGCCAGGTCATCCCCCGGTACCACTACTGGGGGCTGATATTTGATGCCAATCTGTTGGGGTAGAGAGAGATGTCAGATGTGTAAGCAGATGCTTCAAAACCATATCTGGTGGTTGGGGAATAGTTTTTAACAAATTTAAATTAATGACCTTTTATTGTTCCTTTCACTGCGTGAAGTATCCACCTCTGGTTGTGACTAGGGCTCTTCAGTTTCTGAGGCCGCATTCAGAATTAGAATTAAGTTTATTGTCGCATGTACTTACATTTACAAAGCTGCCACTTATGGTGTCATCTTAGGTACAGAGTTACCTAGGTACGGGACTTTAGGAATAAATCAGAGCAAAATAAAGAAAAATCTCAGCATCGCGGTCCTTCACGTCATCTTGGGTACAAGGTACCTAGGTACAAAATCTTTGGAATAAATTATAAAAATAATGAAATGAAAAGTTCAGCATTGCAGTGGTTCAGGCAGACTGTGCTGGGCCTTGCTATTCTTCTGCGCTGGGCGTCGTCTCCAGTCTGTGTCAGGCCTCGCCTCCAATCCACGCCAAACTCACCCTGGGGTTACCTGCTTTCACAACTGCTGCCTCGGGCTGCCTGTTCTCACCACTGCCGTACATGTCAGGGGCCCTCGCTCTCCACCACGTTGGGCACGCTCGTCCTGCGATGGTTCAACTCCACCGCACTGGGCGCCCGCTGTCTTCAGTGCTGATCTCCTCCGTATTGAACAAACTCGCCCTCCACTGAAGGTAAGCAGATAAAAGTAAAGGGGGGGAAAAAAGTGAAAGAAAAGACAAAGAAAAGGACAGAGCAGATGAGGTCCAGGCTCACCAAAGCTACATTGGAAAATGCATAACAAAATTCACAGATCTGTTTACTCAATGTGCAGTTGTTGAGGATTTAATGTTTCTGTTCCAGTCTGAAAGCATCTGTAATGAGGCTGCGTTCAGGGGAGAATTTAGTTCTTTAATGCAATTTCCTCACAGGCCTTAGTTTTTCCGATTGCTTCATCCTTCTCTGAAATTCAGAGCTGCA